CATCTGGTAACCAAATGTAGTGCCAATTCCTCCAGTAAATCCTGAGGATTTCTCATTTGGGGGGGTGGGGGTGGTAATGTGTGTTACTTACTATTTTGTGACAGTCCATAGTGTAGTTTTTCACACACTGATTGACAGTCCAATATTTGTGTTGTTAAAACCATGAAAAAAAAACATAGGAAGAATCAAAGAGAAGCATGGGGGCAGTGAGTCCTGTTGTGTTGTGTTTACAAGAGCGTTTTCTTCCTGCTGTTGGGCAGAATGACACAAGGCATGTCATTGCTAAAAATTAAAATGTGATTTTTTGGTAGGCTTTATAGCAACAACACCAAAGACAAAGTGGGCATGGGTGCAGGTTCACTCAGGCCTCACACAGGGGCCCGAGGGAACCTGCACCCACAGAGCTGTTCAAGCGCTACAGCATATTTTTCTGAATGCTTTATCCATGCGATCAGTTATGTAACTTGTGTTTTGAATGGCAGCAGATTTGTTAGAAGCATAGAAGTAAAAAATACAGACTCCCACGAGGTACAATTTGCATACACCTCACAACTCACCGTCTCTTTATCTTTGATTTCTTGTTGTACTAGATCTAAAAACCAAGCAGTGTCCTCTCAAAATGCTGAAACGTGGCTCCTCAGAGAGCCCCGGGCTTGAGTTTATGACAGCATGGGGTTAATAATAGCACCTACAACCTGCAACTCTTGGCTTCTCTATCTACGGGCTCACAAAGAAAGTTTACTGTAAAATCTTTCATTCTGCCTGAAACTGAGATTTTTATCGATAAACATGCTTATGTGCATCACAAGATGTTTTTCAGACTGTATTAGACCAACTGGGACCTTTTTACTTGTCTGACTGAGAGTGCTTCAGATTTCATGGTGGAAGTGGCACGGGGAGACTGTTGTTATCATCATTGCCCCTCCTGAACAGATGTCTGTGATCTCACCATTTAAATTTACAATATCTTGACAGGAATGGCATCCAACCACTCTCTATCCGGTGTGGTGTTAATGTTTGCTAAATGATTGCACACCTAGCACATGTCTATTTCACTAGTATTGTTTGATGCACTAATTCAATCATAGTGACTTGAAACAGGCTAATGAAAGCTGCAAATATCCACGGCTTTGCCTTGCTGTCAGTACAGCTGCAGTCTCATAAAGCGAGAGCTTGACTTGGCCTCCTGCCAGGATCTCATTCATCCTGGTCTTTTCAAACATTTGTGAGGAAGCTTCCTCATTATTGTGTTTACTGTAGCGTTAGTCTTTGTTGAAACTATTTGCATTCTTGTGATTCCACAGGCTTGTTCTTCGTCTTGCCGTGCACTGACAGTTTTATTAATGTGGACATGCGCACCGTCACCTTTAACATCCCACCACAAGAGGTACGACATGCACCCTTCCAGTTACATTAATCAGATCACTTTCACAGGAATTCAGCTCATGTAGTAATAACTGTGCGTAGTTATTTTATTTGTAGTTTTTTAGCTTGTTACACAGTATTGTGTAAACACTGTTCTTCTCTCAGATTTTGACCAGAGACTCTGTGGCAGTGTGTGTTGATGGCCTGGTCTACTACCGGGTCCAGAATCCTACTCTGGCCGTGGCTAACGTCAGTAATGCAGATGCTGCTACGCAGTTTTTGGCCCAAACCACCCTGAGGAATGTCCTGAGTAACAAGAACCTGGCAGAGATTCTGTCTGACCGTGAAGACATTGCACATTTTATGCAGGTAAACTCCTTCAGCTCTTCTCTTAGCTGTAACTGTGACCCCAAAACATGCAAGAAATAATTGTATACTTCCAAAATGTACTTCTTTTTTTTTTTTTTACATCGTTTACATTGTCCAATAAGCCTTTGAGCTGTCACTCTAAGGGTGTGTCCAAGGGTATGACCTTACACATTTGTTATATGTGGTATATCCAAAAGGTATTCCCTCATCTCTGTGAAGTCCTTCTGTCTCTATTGGCTCATTGTTAAGGCATTTTGAGATGCCATCTTGCTCTGAGCTTTGTTTACCAGGTGCATAATGCAGCTGTCACCCGAACTGTGTGTTACTGTTAAACTAACAAACTGCTGTAAACTGAGAGAAGCTTAGCTAATCCCATGTTTCTATGACGAGTCCCGCTTTTAGTTTGCTTTAGAATTTAATCATTTATTTTTTCCATTAAACTTTTACTTCCAGTTTATGCTGAGCTGCTGTAAATGATTAAATATTTATTTCTAATTCAGAGTCACAGAGACAGTGACCAGGAGGTACTTCAGGAAGTGGACAAATGTCTGTGACCACACCTCTTACTCGCTGAATTCAGCAATGCAGTTGGATTGTTTAGCTGGGTTTGGCCTGCGCCTCTTACTTCCACTTAAGGGAAATCTCACTGCTTTAGCTTAACAAGACATTTTGGACAATTCTATGCTTCCAACTTTGTAGGAATAGCCTGGGGAAAGACCTTTTTTTGTTACATACTGTGCCCTAGTATACAAAGCAAGGTCCACAAAGGCATGGTTGGATGAGTTTTGTGTTGAAGAAGCTGACTGAAAGTCCACTGAATACCACTGGGATGAACTAGAATGGAGTTTGTGAGCCAGGCCCCTTTGTCTAACACTGGTGTCTGACCTTACAAATGCTCTTCTGGATGAATGGGCAAAAATTCCCACTGGTAAATCTTTGTAGCAGTAACAGCTTCCACTCCCAGAAGAGTTGTATAATCATAGTATGATCAACGATGACCAATAGACACTTTTTCATGAATTCTTTTGCTCATAAAATGTAAAAATAGACATGCAGTGTGTGACAGTGTGTAGATGTAAAATGTGTGTCTGTTTCTCTGCTTTGTGAGAGAAACGTGTCACCACTGTCAGCTCCATCTGCTGGACAGTTCTGAAAAATGTAAAACTTTGAAAGATAAGGGACATCCTTCTCATTCATTTAAAAACTTTGCGATAAAATCTATTGTTGTTGAGGGTTTTTTAAACATACGTTCTATTTTTACAGATGTGGTACTACAAACGGTATATTGCATGGCTGTCTCCTCAGGTCACTCTGGACAATGCCACAGATGACTGGGGAATCGAAGTGGAGCGGGTGGAGATCAAAGATGTGAAACTGCCCCCTCAGCTACTGAGAGCCATGGCATCTGAGGCTGAGGCCACTCGTGAGGCCCGAGCCAAGGTAAGGTGGTTCTACATCTCCATATCACTCAATCACTCAGCTTTTTGCCTTCCAGTTTCCTGTTTCCTTCTTTGTCATTTATCGATTGTTGTTATTTTTCTACACTTCAATTTCATAAAAAGGAGAAAAAAGTAACATTGGGAGATTTATGTAGTTTGTAAGGTTACATACTGGTCTAATCCTTTTAAACAATAGGTTATTGGAGATTTAAAAAATTGGTTTAAAGGAGATTTACAAATAAAACAAGAAATCTATCGCAACCCAGAAAAAAGGAATTCTGCAAGATTTTGTAATAAGAATAGTGGGTGTAGAGGCTTCTTCCACTGGGCTGTGAGATCAAGGAGTTCTTTTCATTTTCTTCCCTCCTGTTTCTCCTCTTAAGGTGATCGCAGCAGAGGGGGAGATGAGCGCATCGCGGGCGTTGAAGGAGGCGTCCCTGGTGATTGCAGAGTCTCCGTCAGCCCTGCAGCTGCGCTACCTTCAGACCCTGAGCACCATCGCTGAAGAGAAGAACTCCACCATCATTTTGGCACTTCCACTGGAGATTTTGCCGAAATTCGTCAATACATGAGAAAGTGTCTAAAAAAAAGAAAAGAAATGCACATACTCCCAGCATGCATCACTGAGCACATATACATGTGTAATCAACTTCATTGCCTCACCGTCATTACATCTGACAGCAGCCAGCTTATTTTCACATAGGTTTAATTTATAACTTCTTTTTATTTTTTTCCAACTTTATAATCAAAGAAAAAAAGTGACACAATCTAGGGTACCATCTTCTAGCCCACAGGCCTTCTTTGAGAATTTACCCTTTATTACAAACCTGTGAAATTTAGCATATTCTGTGTTTATCAGAGCTGGAGTTGAATATTTGCTTTGCCTCAGGTGCTCTGGCAGCTGAGCGGGTAGCTTGAGCCAGCAGTGGCAATGCCCCGCAGTCATCTTGGTGTGTCTGCCAATAAATGTCCACTGATTCAATATATTATATAATATATATATAATAATATATAGTATGAGTTTTTAGTCTTAGCATAACCTTTAACTTGAATTTTTATTTATTTAATTGAGTTTTCTTTAGTTTTTGTTTTAAGTTGTTCATTTATTTATTTATTTGCAAGTTTGTTCATTTAAAGCTTCAGAAAGTGTCCAAGTATCAGGAAGCTGAAAATGAGTTATAATTTATCATATTTTTTTCTTTCAGTGTGTAAATATTAAATTTTATTAAAATTAATATTTAATTGTTTGAATTTATATATTGTGAAAATGACACATTTTAGTTCTGTTTTAATCTGTTGTTCTGCTTTCCTACTTTTAACATAAGTGTTTGGACTGTTTGACCAAGAAGTGATTTATGCCTACAGCCACATGAAGTTTATTGTTCTGCTGTTGCCACACAGAGGATTTCTTTGTTAGGAAAGGGAAAGGTTATTTGATTTTACTTTAGTAAGTCGTGTAGTTTTGGTTTTTGTTGTGGTAACAATAGTGACATTTAGGGAATTTTGATACATATGGAAACACGACCAGTGGACAACACTGTGCTGCTGTGTTCTCTAAAGACTGTTTGATTGTTGTCCAGTTTACCAGTTTTTATTGTAATTTATATGAATTTGTTTCTGTAAGTTTCGCTCAGGATTAATGCCTGCGTTTGCTTTGTTGTTGTTTGTAGCACACATTCTTTTGTGCAGTATGATTTGATATGATTTTATTTTGAGTTAAGTATATATGACTAAATAAATCTGAAAGCATGTTTGTGTTGATTTAATTTCTTTCAGGTCAGTGTGAGAAGTTAAGTGTTTGTAAAGGCAGAGGCAGAAAACAGCTGGTATATTTTAATTTGGTTTATTTAATTGATTACAGGAAACCTTAGAAATTGCCACAGAAAGTGGAGCTAATAAAGAAGCAAAGCAGTGGTTTCCCACTAAAAGACAACGCAGCAGAACACACGCTTCCTGGGTGAGAATCTGTGGCGTTATTTTAAAATAAATATAACATCTAAAGGTACAAAAACATCAATAAAGACAGTACCCTTTAAAAAACAAGCTTACTGTAAGCTCAAGGAAATCATTCTAAGGCATTGGTTGTATTGCTTTTTATAAGCTGTTTTCTTGGCAGTAGCTTTTGTAATATTGCAGGAAAACCAAACTTTAAACTGTCTTCTTTTATGTTTGTTATATTTTGCTAGTAAACAGGTTTTTATTGTCAAACATGGGAAAATCGCCTTGAATGAGAGTTGTAGTTTGAGGCTATATGTAGTGCAAATCCTAAAGGAAAGCCTGAGTATCTGTTGAAGTTCTATTTGTACTGGATGATTTCACTGGTTTCAAGGCACAACAGTAGCATTTGAGACAAAGTGAAGAAAAAAAAAAAAACAGTGATTCGTTAAAAAAAGAAGAAAAGGGCATGTGTAGCTTAAAAAAAAAATCTTGCTGCATGGTGACAGGTGAGGGCAGAGAGGTGGGAACAAGGGAATGTTCAGATGTTCAGTTCAGCCATAGCGCGCTCCAGAGGGTCGGTGGTCCAGTAGTCGTAGTCCCAGCCCAGGAACCAGCCAGTGAACGTGGGCGGCTCGAAGCCCTGCTTGATTTTGACAATGGGCGTCCTCGGGTCTCTCTTGGCCGGATCTGTCTTGATGTAACGGACCGCTGAGGAAGACGAGTTTGAATTAGTACAAGGATTAAAAGGGTAGCAGAAGATGCTTTATGCTTTGACTCTTGGTGACACTGCTGCTCTAGTTATGGAGCACTTTGCTGTTAATGTATGTATCAGTAATTATGATGTCTTTTAAATAAATACATTCTGTTTTTGATTAAGTTTTAATTTTTTTAATCTAATGATTGATGTTGTGTTAGATAATTTGCAATGCCAGGGGATTGTCCCAGCTGTATTTCTCATCTCCTATTCCACATGGCATTGTTCTTTCTCCTCATATTTGCTCACCAGATGCCATAGCTTCAGTCTTCTCCTCCTCTTGGGCCTCATTTCCAATCCAGACAAACACCTAAGAATAAAAAAAAACAACAAATAAATAAAGGTTTATTGTGGAGTTTATTCTTTTTGTGGGCACTGATTCTGCTCTGAATGCATATAGTACAGCAAAGGCAGTCAGCTTGTTTTTTACCTGCTCCCAGGTGTCCAAGATCATGACATCATCAGTGGCAAGGTCATCTTGGGTCATCTCACCTGGTACCTCCTCAATCTGAGAAGAAGAAGACAGATTTAAGGGGGCTTTATTTTTATGTACACGTAACGACAAATAAAGACACAGTGTACTGTTTTCAGCAGGTACTTTGAAATATTCTTGACATCCTGCACATGCTCGTGCAATACCAAAGACTTGAAAACTCGAGTCAGAATAGGACAAAACCAATTCAGCAGGAGAAGAAAACGTACTATAAAGTTTCCAGTCTTATTGGAACAAGCAAAGAGACGGGGTGGATGAGCATCCATCTTGTCCTTGAGTCTAGTGGAGGTGCGATACTCCGTCTTTCCACCCAGAGCCTCCCAGAACTGATCTGTAAAACGACAGAAACACTTCAAGCTATCACAACCATCAAATTTTGTAAGAGGGCAAAGCAATAGTTTGACATTTGGGTAAATCTGTTCCTTTTTTGTTGGTACAAAGCCAAATCAGGTTTTTAGTTTAGCATAAAACCTGGAAGTAAGCCTGGTTCTGTCTAATGGGGAAGAAAACAAAATGCTTGGTTTACATTATCAGGTTATCACTATTTTTAACTGAGGTAACTGCTAGAAGTATCTGTTAGTGGACAGATATTCCAGTGATTTCACTGTCATCACACTGAAGCCGGACGAATTCCTCTATTTGCACTGGGTGGTAGTGGGATAAGAGATGTGCATGTGGGAAAATGTGTTCTGAAAATTTCAGGTCAGCCAGTCTGACACTTAAATCCCATTTCTCCCCGATCCTGGCTCTCGCTTCAAATTCCAACACGTCATCTTGACCATGCTTTCATGCCTATATGCACTGAGTTGCTGTCGTGTGATTGGTTGATTAAATATCTGCATTAACAACCAGTTGAATAGGTGTACCTAATAAAGTGTCTGGTAAGTGCAATTGCAGTGTTTCCCCACACATAGACTTTACTTGGGCAACCTTATTTTGCTATTTATTCATTTTATTTTGCCCATGTGGAAACTGGTGGTTTTCGTCAAGTGAGCAGTGGTTTACAGGAAAGATAAGAGCACTGAAAATGTCAGTGCTGTTACATCACCTGCCATAGACAAAAAAATATATAATACCTGTAAAAAGAATGAAACAAACCAGGAGCTAAAAGCTTAATGGACCTGCTGAGGTGTTTGCAATATTGTGTAGTTTTTGTTACAATTATTCTTGCCCTTCCAGCTATACAGCTATTTAATCAATTTTTAATACACAAAATTATTGTTAGAGCACTTTTAAGGGTAAAATAAAGCAAAATAAAACAAAGTGTAAATGTAAATTTGCAACCAGCATCTGTGAAACAGCAGGTACCTGCACAGTACAGCATCAATTTTGAATAGAAAATCTTTTCAACCATCAGAAATAAAATGGTGAATTTCTCATTTGTCTTTTGCGAGGCCCCAGCCGAGGCCAGTCCTCAAAAGCAGGGTGTTTATGAAAAATTTAATCTGTTATGTTGTAGCCTGAGGTGTTTTTATATGTGAAACTGTTCGCAGGGAGTTTCTTCTTCTTGAGCTTGGAAAGCAAATAGCAAGACTTCTGACAACATCAGAAGGGGTGATGCAATCAAGTCTGCTTTGTTTCAATATGGATGAACATAAGCGCTTAGCCGAAATACAAAAAGGGAGCTATTTAGCCTCGCATTAAAGCGCTATTTTAACAGCCAGACCACACTTTGTAGCTGACACAGATACAGTTCTGAGTATGTTAACAGCTGTTGGGTTTCAGTTTGACTTAAATGCAGCAAAAAAAATTAAATAAAGGAGAAAAAATGATAGTGGAGGTAACTGTGTTTATCCTGTTTCCTCACCGCTCTCTCCTCCCTCGGACAGCTCTGAGACAGACACGCCCAGGATGTCACACAGCTGTTGAGCTCCCTGCTTCTCTGTGTCGCTGGCACCCACTCCCACCCACAGGAAGGAGTCGCCGGGGGTCACCAGAATAAAAGCATCATTGGAGTTTAGGTTGGATGCCTGCGCGTCAAGCTGCATAGAAACAGAGATATTGCAAGTTATCATGAGGAGCTGTTGTGTTGGTGGTTTTTCATTTTTACCAATATTCATGCTAGCATAATGCTTTATTTGACATTTTATGCCCTCTAACAACAATTCGAGAGGATATTTTAAAGGAAAGGACATCGGTGTTTTCCATTCTTACTATGCATTTTTTCCCTTTTCCTCTTAAATACCCTTAAACCATTTACTGAATACTTAAAAAAAACTTCAAGTATCAAGTGCTTCTGCTTTCCTTTAAAACCTCTACTTCATTGTTAATGGACAGCGCTTAACACATTTATTAGATTAGAACACAAATATTTCAGAAATCTGTTAGAAACTGCTTTGCAAAAGAGAGAAGAAAAAAATAAAATAATCAAGGAATGATTAAATTCAGGTAATGAATGAGACGTTTCCTCTTACCTCCACAGCTCGTGTGTGTCCTGCAGAGTTGGAGCGCACCTGGAAGAATCGAGTCTCAGCTGGAGCGGACTGACCTCCTTCTCTGGACGTTCCTCCCTTGTACACAATCATGGGCTTTCCTCCAAACAGACTCATCAAATGGGCCGGCTCTTTCCCCTGCACCACCCTCACCTGATACACAAATACCGAATTTAAATCTCTGCATCTAATGAAGTTGTTGTCACAGCAATTCATATCGAAAAATACCTCATGCATTTTGATGTTACAAGTGGTGCTACCAAATCACTGCAGACATATCCTCCCTAATTGTGTCCTGTGAAATATGCATCAACAAGGTGTGGAAAAAAAGTCTGCAGCAGTTCCCACCACTGACGCAAGATGGCAGCACAGAGCCAAATCATGCCATACCCTGAGGTGAGAGTGAGATCTGTAATATTAGTAACCATGGTGAGGATAAGGTATGTCCAAAACAGTCTGCGGTTTTTTGTAATAAACAGTCATAACTGTGAGGTGTTGCAGTCAGTGGTTCCCCTAATCCAGTAAGCACTGCACATTACACTAATCCTGAGCTTGCTGGGGCAAACAGAGCAGAGATAAATATTTACTGATGAGTTTACAGGGGGAAACTATTTGTATTACATGAAGTTTAACATAGAAAGCCAACATGCTTTTTTATGTTCTGCTGTTCCATCAAATATTTGACATTTGATGCTTTTGGCTTGCTGCAGTTGCTGATAGATTAAAGTTGAGTTCATAGACTGTATATAAAAGTGTGAAAACTCCTTAATCCTTATAAATGCATTCTATTTAATGGTCAGAAGGGGGAAACTTCTCTTAGTGAAAAAAGCCTCTAAAATCTATGAGAAACCAGCACTGCTCCTCACTTTGAATCCACTGGGACTTTGCTATGACCTGAGTAGAAACTTTCCTGACAAGGTTTTGGACAGCATAGCAAGTCTTACTTAACATAACATAATGCTCATTATCTAAATTAATGTAGCATATGCGTCTCGTGATTGACAAGTCCCTGCAGTGAGAGCAATTTCTCAAATGAGACAGAGGTGAAAGAAAAGCTCAAACTCTGGCTTCAGGCCAGAACTTGACCAACAGGTGACATCACGCTTGCTATGCTCCTTAAGTACAGCCTGTGATTCAGTTTAGTTTGACAGATGAGCAAATGCAAAAAGTGTTTGGTAATTGCAAGATGAGGAATCAGGAACATGAGGACAAATAAATGGGAATGCTGCTGATTCCTACAGACAAATTCAAACATATACAGAGTCGTGCCACAACACACGGACAATAAGAAGGCCGTACATGCACACGCGAGGAGTGAGCAGTGAATGACCAAAGACTCGTATGAGTTCGGAGCCACTCATGAATATTAAGGCCTCACAGACAGGCTAAGGCATCATAATGTTGGTGTGACATCAGTTCAGGACAAAGGACAAAAGTAGTGTGACTTATTTATGTTAACAGACCGAGCTGGCGACAGAGAAGGAGGGAGCCTCCCATGAAACTCCACAGTGGAATGTCCTGTTTGTGTTTCAACGAGTCGTTTTCATTAGAAATTCACTTTAGCTCATTATTACAGTCACTAAACCTGAAAGGACTTCTCAAAAATGAATAACACAATATCCTCCAGTAATTATAAAGAATGGGAGAATCGAATGAATATGTCCTTGTTGCTTCTATTTTTTCTGTGGCTCTGAACACGAAACACATGAGTCCCTTAGTGAAGATGAGGAGCAGGGAAGGAATGAAGGAAAAATACCTGACTGGTTATAGGAGCACCAACAAGCTGAGGAGATAGAAAAGGCCAGAAACCAAGCAAGTGAGGAAATGAGCAGCAGCATGGAAACCATGAGGAAGAGGTAACACAGTGAAAGGATGTAAAAGTCAGACAGGACGTGCTAAGGAAGCCAGACATGAGCAGAGTCGTTGATGACAGGGAAGATCAAATAATATATAAGCATATGGAAAAAAAACAGAAGCACGCTAAAAGAACAATATGTTGTACCTGCACAGGACCGCCGCCGAGTTCTTCATCCAGCTGTGCGCCGAGGATCGCAGAAGCCCCAATTTCATCCTGACTGGAGTCCGCTCCCTGCCTGGGAAATAAGATGAGTTTATCAGCTCAGCATTCAAACATAACAAGAGGAACTGACTTGGACACAGCATATGCTTACAGCCCAACCAATACGATTTATGACTGTGATTAATCTAATATATATCAACTTTGTGTTTCTCGCTGAACTTTCTGAACTTCACACCTTCTCAATCTTTCCTCCGCGTACTTTTCACAGTGAAACAAAAGTGCAAAACTGAACTATGATTTGTTTATTTCCAGTGACTATTACATTAAATTCAGTGCTACCAAAAAGAAAATATATCCCCCTTTTTATAGTATTGAATGACTGATACTTAAATTTGTGGCAACAAGTTTAAGCTCCAGTGACTGCACTAGCTCTGAAAGGGGGATACGATGAGTGCAAAATAACAACTTCATAATGTATAAATTTCTATGTGAAATCCCTTTGTGCTTTACAAACGTAATGTTCCTACAAATTTATTTCTGACTCCTCAGCCTCAATGTTTGCTTATGAATCAGTAAATCTGATCAGACCCTGCTAATTATCTAAAAAAAATAATAATCCAGCTCCACACCGGCTGCTTATATTTTAGTGCTATAGTCTGATGACAGGTAACTTCACAATACAGACTCTAATTATGGTTCCACAGTCTTGACAAATTTATGTCTCACCACATGTAGATGATATGTCCCTGGCGCCCTCCATGAGAGTAGTTGTAAAGGATGATGTAGCTGTCTCCTCCATAGAACTGTCCATAAGTGGATGGATCCACTGGGACTTTGTCAGATCCCTCTATACGCCAGATCTAACAGGGGGGAAAAGAATAACATGGAAAACATAAAATAAAAAAATAAAAAATTACATTTAGTAGGCTGTAGATTTCAAGGTGCACCTGCTCCCCCTACTGGAATGGAAAGTAATGGCACACACAGGCAGCACTGAAAGCAAATCTGACACATAATCACAAGCTGAATGACAAACCCCCACCTGTTTCTCTCCGCTGCCATCGTCCACCATTCCATGCTGGGCGGCCATGGCGGAGGATTCATGTAGGGTGGCGGCATCGAAAGGCACCTTCTCAATCTTTGCGATGCTGTTAGCGATGTAGGCCACGCCCAGGCCCACAGTCTCATCTTTATCGCGCCAGTCTTTGAAGAACTGCTTGAAGAGCGGCGTCTCACCCATCTCAGGCAGGATCTGGACCTGCGTGTGTTTGGGGTAACCCATCTTCTTGATGAATTCGTCTGCTGCCTTCATCGCTGCTTTCCGCTCTTCCATGTTGGCGTCTTTGCCTGAAGAGAAAAGACATTAAATACTGGAGAACTAAATGGAGAAATGTTACTGAAAATCAAAAAAGGAGGCCAGAAATTATTTCTAAACCTGGGTTAGAAAGGTCATTTGGTGCATTGACTTCAGCACTACTATAAATATTACAAAAGAGTTCTGAAAGTTGAAAAGAGTTGGTAACGAGAAGGTAAATAGTTTAACTTTTGTGAAATGCACGTATTTGCACTTTTGCTAAGAACGACAGCTGTGTTGTCTGCAAGAGTGGAAAAAAGCAGCTCAGCCAAGAGCCATTTCTTGAGTCCGCTGCACCACCCTGCACTGACCTTTCCAGAGAAAGATCTTTCCATCAGAGCCGTGGTCCAGGATAAAGCAGTCACCAGACTCCAGGGTGCTCTGAGCGAAAGGGTTCTCTGCTGCCACGAGAGTAATCGACATGGCTCCGGTAGCATTGGACACCTGCAGGGGAGGATGGGAAGGAGGATGAAGGAGCTGCCAAGCAGGGAAAAGTACCGCTTTTCAGGAGATTGAAAGGCTGCTGTAGACGCTGCTTCCTCTCCATCTTTTAAGCCAGGCAAATATGAGCAAGGGTTTTATAAAAGATACGTCTCTTAATTGATGTCAGCTAGCAATTTTACTCTATGAATCTTAGAAATATGACGCTCATTACTTTATATTTTAACTGATGAATGATCACAAAAAAGGGGCTGTAGTAGGAAACATTTTGGGGGTTATTTTAGAAAAATTTAATATTTTTCTAAAATAACCCCACAAAATGTTTCCTACTCTCTAACACATTATAATTTTACCTTAATTATTATCTAAATGTGTATTCCTGATAGGGAGTTTGTATTTTTGGACTATATCAATTTACACTTACTAGTCACTTTATTAGGTACACTTTCCTTTTACTGGTTTGGACCCTCTTTTCCCCTCAGAACTGCCTTAATTCTTTTTAGCAGAGTTTCAGCAAGGTACTGGAAACATTCCTCAGAGATTTATTGGCAGATAGATTGGTATGACAGCATCACATGATGGTGACTGTGGAGGTACAGTGAGGCCTGCCCAAGAAACCACTTTGAGATGATTTGAGCTTTCTGACATGGGACGTTACCCTACTTGAAGCAGTCATCAGTTGATGTGTACACTAGTAATAAAGAATTGTCAGCAATATATCTCAGGTATACTGTGGCTTTGTGGTGTGACCCTCTGCTGCTCTAGCCCACCTGCTTCAAGATTTGACATATTGTATCTTTAGAGATGCTCTTTTGTATACTTTGTTGTGCTTATTTGAGTAACTGTTGCCTTTCTCTCAGTGCAAACATTATCCCTTATTCAGACCACTCTCTGTAAACTATAGAGATGGTTGAGTGGAAAAATCGCCCCAGATCAGCAGTTTCTGAAATACTCGTACAAACCCGCCATATTTAAAGTCACTTAAATCTTTTTTTCTTTCTCATTCTGATGCTTCAGCAGGTCGTCTTAATCATGTCTACCTGCCTACATGCATTCAGCTGCTGTCTGGATTGCCTGATTACTTGTGTTAATAAACAGTTGAATAGGTGTACCTAATAATGTGTGAATATGTGCAAAATAAACAAAACATTTACTACATTTTTTTTTAATCTACTTTATTTTTAGTACTTTGGGTGCATCGTTCTGGAACTAAACTAAAACGTTTGTGGTCACTTGTAAATTGTTGTTGTTGACAATCAATCATGAATATAATATATTCATGATTGATTGTCAATCATGAATATATATGAATAATTATTTATGATTATTCATCATAAATAACTTTATTATCTTTTTTTAATGATGTTTCTGTGTTGGTGTTTAGAGGCCCATTTCTAGCAACCAACATTTTTTATGTTGAAGAAGCCACATAATCAGCCTGTGCACAAACTCACAGGAACAAAAACTTTCCTTGCTCATGTGCCAGGCACGTTTCTAAGTGAGTGAATGCCATGTTTGTTTCTGTGTTGTTGTTGTTTTTCTTAACAAATCCATGCTCTGACCTTGTAGAGTTTAGCCCTCATCCTGTTTGAAGCATCAGTTTTGATGTCATCCGAGTCTCCAGCTGGTAGATCTGGTTTGGGACCTAACACCTGAGGACAGAGGCAAAGATTTTAATAAAAAAGCGACGCCTGAAGACCTAAATTTGATCTCATAATGCACTGATCGCACCTCTATCATCTTCTCTCTCTCCACCCCCTCATCACAGACATAAACTCGAGACCTCCCACTGCGCTCATTATCACGGATCCCCTTGGCAACCTGAGTAGCCTTCAGCTTCTCAAAGCGGTTGCTCTGGGAGCCACACCACTGGTAAATCTCCTGTGGGGTGAAAGGAAAGACAGTGGATTGAATGAAGAAGAGCTTTTACAAGTCATTTTTTAAGATAAGGTCTATGTATAAGATTTACATCTCCCAGGTCCAGGATGAAACAGTCTCCCGTGTTGAAGCTGTCCCAGCTGACCGGCACCTCCGTTGCCCTGACCACGCGGCGTCCTTTAATCTGGAGCACTCGCTGCACCGACACCTCATTGGTGACAACGTGCTTGAAACCAGATGCCACGCCTCCTTTCTGCAACATGAGCGTCGCATTTAAAAGTGAAATAAAATAAATAAATGAAAGTAAAGTCACTCCAACTGTAAATAATAAAATGTTATTTTGAGCCCTGTTCTCTCCTCAAATTTACTGCCCTCTTGACACATCTGTGGCAAAAATGTACATACACATAGAAACTGTATAGAAAAATCCTCATATATCAATATTTCACTTACACAGCTTGAACCCTTATGATCAAATCTTCTATTTTTGCATCTTACAGTATACTATGGAGCCAACCTGGGGGATTTGTTTCTATGCATGTGAAACATCTAAATTTACAGCAGATGTTTCATGTAACAGTGAACGAATAAAGGAACTGAGATTCTGTTTCAAAATATGTGATCAATATAAAGTATTTCTTTACATGAGCCTGGTTTTAAAAGCATCAAAAACATGTCACTGCTAGTTCAACAGTGACATCTTACCATGTATTTGATTCCAGACTTGAAGTAGCCCAGAAAGGTTTTGGACTCGTGTCCCTGCACCTCACGGTACTGGATGGGTTTCCCCCCAAGGAAATCGTCCATTTGGACCGTAAAGATGGCTGCTGAGCCGCTCTCATCCTGGGTGCAGAAATCACCTGTGCGAGAGAAACCAAAGAAGGGATCCATCTTAAATCCAGCCCTCACAGTTCTGCTGAAAAATAACCCGGTTAGCCATATTTTGCGTCTGACCAGTTCTCCCAGTGAGGACTTCAGTGAGTTAGGAGATCAATATGTAAGAGCAGCAGCGGGTCACATTAATACATGTAACATTGTTCTATTTATGGGCACACAGTGTAGTCCATCAGCATGTGGGTGGATTACATCACATCCTGTTTATTGGTAAACTGTCTGTGCCAAGATCAATCAAGCTTACGAAAACAAAATAAAATTAATAATCTGACTTAGCAGTGTAAATAATGCTTTACCTAGTAATACCAATTTTCCATTATAAATACCAACACACACAGCACAAATACAAACAGTGACAACTAACTGAGATTTGAAATTGGAAATGAAAATGTTTTGTCCTCATATTTGGTGATTAAGATGATTATCTTACCAGAACATCAATGTTGGTTTGGACACATCCAATACACAATTATAACTTTTGTATTAACTTTTGTATAACTCTTGTATTTTCTGCCATGACCAAAAATTTCCCACGTGTGGGACTACTAAAGGTTTATCTTATCTTATCTTATCTTATCTCCCAATTTTAATCAAATAAAGAAGTATATAGTATATAATTAATTTAGTTTTCTCTGTAAAGCTCCTACTACTTTGAAATTTTCCCTTGACATAAAGTTTTTTTATTTTAAACCGTCATAAATAGTTATACATTAAACTGTATTCGGTAAGTCGTTGGTGAAATAATCTACAAACCTTTGCATGCACAGTTTAAATTTTCAGCACTTCAATGTAAGACATTATGTTGCATTACTGGCAGCACTTCCTCCTCTTTCCTCTGCTTTTTCCCCCTTTCCTCCCTCTCGGTTTTGGGCTTCCATGTGTGAGTGTTATTGTGCATCTGGGAATCGCAATTAACGACACCGGCTGGTCATCTCCCCAAAACACCCGCTGGCTTTTCACTTCACACTCAGCCAAACAGATCGGCATCCTAAATGATAGTGCCCAATAGTAAATGGTTATACCAAACTCCTGTAAAAATACAAAAGTTTGCACAGCAAATTCTTTGTGAATACTGGTAAAGGTGTGTTTTTTACAATATGATCTGTGATTGATTTTTATTACTGTAGATGGAGATGTAGAGCTTTATTGTAAAATCATAAAATCTCTATGAATATTATGTATAATAGGAGCTAATTGTGTTAGAAAAGGGAAACCTGTAATCTATACAGCAAAATCTTCTTTCGTTATGTAAATGTTATATTACCTAGTGGCAGATAACAGCTGACACATCCAGCTGCCAGTACAGTGCTGTACTGTAATTTAACAGGCAAATTTCTCATAGCATGCAGTCAGGCTACGTTTTAGTTCTCACTTCCAGGTATTTCAATTTCCAGGAATTTATTTTCCTGTGCACCTGTGCACCAGGTCTTCACGTGGTATTCAAAACCAATTATCTGCAGGGCGGCTCCACCTGTCACATTCTTCTTTGGCTGACCTGCCTCTCACGTTATTTGCTCTTCCTACTTCAGCTCTCCACTCTGGCCAAGATTGCCTGGTCTCCTGTGCTCACCTTCTCACTAACATCAGGCTGACCTCCTCTCCAAAAACCATGTATCATTTTAAATATGCAATAAAGTAAAATTATTTTCATAATAATCCTGTTTATGAATTGATATTGAGTTCAAACTCATGTTCACTAATACTTTAGCTTAAAAGGTCATCTTTTACACGAATCAGCTTTTTTAGGAATCTCCATACTTCATTTGCCACTGAGAATATCTAAATTTAGTCCTTATTAGGTTTTAAATGCATGAAAAAAACATCTACTATTAAACACCAATCCTCATTCGTTTCACAATCTGATAGAAATGATAGAGCTTATTATCTGATAAAACTGTTTGCCAATGAGCCATGTGGCTTTCTGTTGCTTTATGGCACATGACTCACTGTCCTGACTAGTTTCAGCCTCTCCACTGCAGCAGCTACAACGGGCAAAATTATTTTCCAGGGCCTTCATCCTCATACTGTTCCTCATCTGCTTTGCAAGTCAAAGAAGATCACACTGGAAAACTGAGATCATCTTTATTTTTTGCCACATCACAATGGAAACAAATACAAAAAGACATGTCTCCCATGTGCTACTAGGGGTTTTGTGCTCAGTCTCAGTGTGACCTGTGATATTCGTGGTTTACTTTCACATTTGAATAATCCAAAAGAAAGAACAGCACTGTATGGTATCCCCTCCAGTTATAATGGTTGACTCTGAGTAATAACCCAGAGATCATTTCCCTTTCACGGCACTCACCCAACCAGAAGTGGAGGTCGTACTGCAGGCTCCCGGAGCGCTGTTTGATAGTATTGAGGATGAGGTAAGCATCTCCGGTGTAAAATCCCCCGTGCAGGTTCTCAGGGACAGGCACCAGGTCAAAGTTCTCCACCCTCCACACCTGGAGGCCTGGCTGCTGTCCAGCTCGCTGAAATTCTGGGTGGTGCGCTGCCATCCTGCATTCAGGGAAGTCACAGACCTTAAGTTAAGGGCTTTTGCTACTGCACAGGCCAAAAACAAATACAGGTCAATGAGCTAAACGATAAACTTAGTTGGCCAAAAGGCTACTGCACCAATAAAACTTGCAGAGGTTGTAATACCTTTACAAAGTGAAGCAGACACTGCCCACATGAGAGCTATAAAAGCCACTCCCCTTAAAGCTCAGTGGTTTCCATGAATATAAAGATAAAGCTTTGTTCTAGTTAAGTATTAATACAGAGCAGAGTGATTCATCCACTGTGCTCAGGGTATTTCCTCTAGAGAGCAGCAAGAGGAAGCCATGGCAGTTATGACTCATTGTTATCATCATAAACTGTTAGTGATGGTTGGCAATAGAAACACTTCTGTATAACTGTCTATTTGTATATCCTGCAACCAGGGGTTTAAAAAAGCCTTTAAATGTGTCTTTAGATAACTACATAGTGGACAAATCTGCTCAGAGACATCTGTCCAATCATAAACACACACACACAGACACACACATAGACCCATTCATTCATGTCTGACATAATGCCACCCACAAACAGTTTCAAGTAGGTGCCTGTGCTACACTAGATTACTGCCTACTGCCTTCTGGAACGCCTGAGCGGATGTCTCAGATGCTAAAATGAGAGCGGGGCATCCTGTTTAAAAAAAAAAGTGGTTAAAATTTGAATAGTTTTTCACTTTTTGCAGCTGTTTTGTTGTTTGGGTAATGCCAACAACACAATTCATACCACGAAGAGGCAATAATTTTAAAAAAAATTATGCTACAAATTCTGCAGTAAAGATCAACAGCCCACACAGTCACAGCATCCTGTACCAGCTGCTTGTTATGACATAAACACTACAGAGATAACATTTTTTCTGCAGTGGAGTGGAGTAGTGCTCTAACCCAAACTACAATATCAACTTTAGATGTTATAAAACTGTATAAACTAGAGTTCATACAGTTCAAAACGAACACAGAACCTAGTTTTCCACAGGAATGCTGCTCGTGTACTGCCTTTCAATTTGCATGCACACTGAAGCAAGAATCAGCCATTCTTCTAGGCAGGCGCCTGCCCACAAGCATGGCAGGAATCTGTTATTGACCCGAGAAGAGGAAAGTGGCTCCGAATTCATGCAACCAAGCCAACAAACGTGGGGCTTCTTTCCCCCCCATCTGTGCTCTCTTCTTATGTCAAACTCAGTGCACATTACTTTGTAGCTAAGAAATGGTTTGAGATGGAAAAGCAGGCGGATAATTTCACAGTGAAACACATGCAGTCAAAACAGAAGCTTCCTGGAGTCATACGAGGCCAGGCACCACCTGACCTTCCATGACTACACACAGGTTTGGCTGGACGGGAAAGATCTGAAGCCATGAGGCGATGCCATCACGGCATTATACACAGTCCTTGTAGATTTCCCCTTGTGAGAAGCTTGACGGTCACAAAAACCATAAATTATGCTTCTTTAGCCACATAAGAAGAATTAACTAACGATACCAATGTTGAATAGCCAGTTTCTGAAAGCCTCAACACACATTAGTTCTCATATGTTTTATTTGATACAAAAAAAACAGTGTAGAGAGTTTTCATAACAATATCACAACAAAAGTGACCAAGAAACTATTTCTAATTTGGATTTTATCTGTCTTAGATCACCACATGGGCTAACCTCAGTCTTTCTACTTAAGCTGTCAAACACGAGCCAGTCAAATTTCCTACTGAATTCCTGTTTAGATCTATTGCTGTGGTCTGGAACATCAAAATGACACAGTTCAGCCTTTACATAACAAAACTTTTGAGTTCAGTAGTTTCTGTAATGCTGTTTTTCAGGCTATATAGTGAGACTGTATATCATCAGTACCTTTTGAATTCGTTCTCGCTTTCTTTCCATAAATATCAGAGGAAAAGCTGAAGGTTTGCAACTTTTTTGGAGAGCTAGATGAGAGGTTCAGAGAGCTACCACTTCCATGTAGCATGTTGTATCCTGGCCTAGCATGAAAATTTAAAGCAATAGAAGAAGCTAGCTTAGCTCTGACGAAATTAAAAATGCAGCGCGTTGTAACTTCCTGATGTCTTATTCCCACACTGAGGTTTTCCTGTACCCCCAGAGGCTGTAACACCCCCTCTAAGACCTCAAATTTCTCTTTTAACACTTTCCCAGTGTTTCATAAACTTATTATAGCACAAAGCCAAGCTTGTCTCTTTCCTTTATGCTAAGCAGCTAATCATCACCTTGGTGCCAGTTCATCTAAAGGTTGAAAAAGAAGAAAAAAGTGATATTTCCCTCCCAAAAAAAGTTTGGTTATTTCTTAGAGCTATTTTTATTATATCAGTGAGCCCAGATAGCATCCCCAAAACACATCTGATGATTCATATTTTGCAATTATGTATTTTTAAAAGTCATCTAAGTGCAGAAGCAAGCACATCCTCCCAAGCTGGCTACTTCCTGGCAACTAGCAAAACACTGTAGTGACATACAATAACACTGTGCTCTCATGAAACTGGTAATAAATCAGGTGCAATGCTACAGCATTTCTTTAATGAAACCAACATACCCAGAAATCTGCAAACAGCTTCACTTTAATTTGGAATCAAGCGATAAAGGGAATATTTTTACCCCAAGCTGGCCGTTACACAATCATTTAATATTCTCATGTAGAGGGTGCAAGTTTTATGAGAGGTTACCTCTAAATCACATTCTCAAAAACATACCTGAAAACAAAGCTAGGTTTCCTTAACAACTGAAGGGTTTTCATTTAGTAGCTGCTGAGTAGGCTTACTTCCCTCTTAAACATACGACTTGTGGAAAAGACAGTATCACTTCTGTGCAGCTTCATATTCTGAAGATGATCATCTCTGTGGCACTAAATAAACATGACTGGCTGTGACTGTGATCTTCTCCTCTGATGGAGAAAAATGTTCTGTCTTGTCTCCTGCACATCAGAGCTCTTTCATCCTAGAGTTAGGTACAATCTCTGACTTAATAAAGCAAACATCAGAGGGGATAGACTCAGCATCTGAGCAACCTTTGAAGAATCAAAGCCAGTAATGGTGAAAAAAAGAAGACGAAAACTTACACGGGGAAAAGGTTAGAGAATGAAGTTTAAGGCACAATAAGACTCTTACAAATACAAATGTTTTTGCTTGTATGAGGGGCAGCAGCTGACTAAAACAGTCATTCGCTATTCAGGGTTGCTTCACACTGGATAAAGTGACTCAAGGAACGGTGGTTTGTTGACTCAACACAGCCTAAATAAAACCGGTCACATGACCTGTGGTCAGTCACGGGCATGCTGAAGAAGGGAGGCGTCTGCCACCAGCCGCACACTGGCATCCAGTCAGTTTGTACCCCCTCATCTGTGGACCCACCCACCACCCCTTCGCCTCCTAACAAACAAGGAATGAGAGCTCATTCCAGCTCCAGTTATCTGATCCCCTCCCCCAATCCTCACCAACCTCTCTTTTGTGTCTGCCTTCGCTTGAGGCCCGAGTGAAAACTCGAAACTTGTGCAGGTCACAGCATTGGATTCATATGACAAGAAATAAACTGTTACGTAAGCCCTTGTGATTTGTCTGCTGGTGTCCATTCTTCAAAAACAAATTCAAAATAGTGTTATCTGGAAAATCTTGATTTTTGGGGGCCATGGCAGCATATCGTTCCTGAGTTTCTCCCAAATAAAACAATATTTCTCCTTCAGGAATGGTGTGTGTGTGTGTGTGTGTGGGGGGG